CACATTTTGGTACTGGTTTTCCTATAAGTTCCCCCACAGCGTTAATCAATAAGAGAGATCCTAACACACATGAAATCAGACTAACGAGTAGAGAAAACAGGTCATCTATGACCTACAGTCACCTTTTCATAGGTACAGGATCACACAATCCAACAAATAAAAAATATAACCCTCACAAAAGTCTGCCGACATTGAGTGGTTTGGATTCATTTGTTCTCCCCTTGGTACACGACCAAGGAAAGAAATAAAAGAAGAAAGAAACTTTAGGGTTACCAGTTGCAGATCTGATTTGATCAGCCCAGATTCAGTCCTCTGTTCCGCCCAGATTCAGCAACTTGAAGAGAAAAAAAAAACTTGGTCGCCCAGATTCAACAGCCTTGCTCTAACACCATCTTCGCAATAAATCCGATTGAAATATGTGGAAATAGAGAAGAGAAGGGAAGAAGAGAGAAAAGGAGAAGAAAGAAAGGAAGAAGAAAAGGTTTGGAGCAATAGAACAGTGCTGGCAGCGCCAGCTTCTATTATATTATATAGGGTGGCAGAAATAAGAAGGGAAAAGACCCTTCTGCCCCTGCTGTGAGTACAATAACAGAAATAACAGAAAATAAAAAAATGCTTTAACTAGCCAAACAGACCCTAACACAATAACTAAATTATTTCAACACTTCCTATATAATGGACTTGATGCACTCCCATATAAAGAAAGGAGTGTCTTTACATGGTATTTTGTTTGTGTTGTGCCTTTCATCTTTTTATTTGGGTGTGATTAATCTTTTAAATGGCATATAAAAAATCTTGATGCTATGGATTGTTTAGTGCAATTTTCTCAAGAATAGTTTCTCTTTTTTTCTTGACATTGACAAGCACCAAAATTTCATTCTTTCATTTATTAGTTATAAACAGAATATGCAATGGATTATACAGACAGTGGAGAGCATAGAGTACCATCTCCCTCCCCCCTCTCTCTAATTGCAAGACAACCCAAAAGAATCAATTCCTGAGTACCCCTTGCTCTGCAAAGTTATCAGCCATATTATTTATTGATCTCAAGAATAATTACTGTCAAGGGTTTATGATATCAATTACTCCAGAAAAAGATCTCAAAAATGGAGGCAGAAGGGAAATTTGTGGTGGAAATTAATGTCTTTACATGTACTCCCATAGTGTGAATGGTTAAAAGTTTTCTCCTTCATGAGAAAAGGGCAGCCCAGGGATCAAGTCCCACCAATGTGGGGTCTGGGGAGGGACAGATTTATGCAGCCTTACCCGTGCATATATACAGAGTGTCTGTTTCCAAGATTTGACTAATATTCATGAGCAAAAGTTTATTTTCTTGGCTTGCTTTTGACTAATATTCAATTCTAAATATAAAGTTTTGTGCTTCTAATGATTTTGCATCTTTTCAGTTCTGTTCCTTTTGGTTTTTATTGTGCACATACATTCTGTTTGTTGGTTATTTTAATTAATTGTTTTTAGGGCCCTTGGCTTTGAATTTATTTTTTATAATAAAATATTTATGTTGCCAAATCTCCTAGCATGAAAGTTTGATACAATTAAGAAAAATCAAACAGCAGTTGAAGCTCATTTCATTGATTGAGATGGAATTAGCTTCTATTTTAGAATTTGAACTTTCTGGAAATATTTCACTGCTGTTTCCCCTCCTTACTAGACTTGCCTGTCATGAAAAATGTCTTCATACAATGCCCACATGTGGTGCCTAATCTTAACTTTGTTAGGAGATAATGCTTGTCCATAAGGTTGTCACAGTTCATTGTAGAGAAGGTAGAAACTAATGTTTGTCTCACTTTTACAGGCATTTTGCTTCAAGCTCTTAGCATGATGTTGAATAATTTGTTTTTCCTTTTATGGCATTATTTTTTTTCCTGGCAGTTGATTTTCAGATTGATGGGAAGATCTGATCTTGTTGCAGTGTATATTTTTAGAAATAATTCTTTTGCTATGTTTAAGATCCATCTTTTGATAAGCTACATTCTATATTGATTCTACCACCACTGTTACTATCATAAGGCAGTCTGTGCAGCCTGATTTTATCAATTTGTAACTGGATTATGCTTTCTAGCTTTGTTGAAATCATTAGTGAACTAACCAGTAGAACATGAATTGGTCTAATTCCATGTTTATTTGTGTAGGCACTTGTATTATGTGTGGTTTGTTTGTTAACATGATGCTTTAACCAGTCCTTTGACATTATCCATATAGCTATATAGTTTTGAAGTTGGACGCCCTCTACTTAATTTCAATGTTGATTCATCAACTCGCCCTTGTAAGTCTGCTTTGTTCCTATGTCATGCCTATCCCAAGAGCTCTACCAACCAAAGAGCCTTAATTTTGATCTGGAGCTAAAACTAGCAGCAAACATTAGAAGTTTAGAACCTATGGTAGACGGATACCTATAAAAGGGTGCCATATCATGTTAGATTCTTCAAGTTATAGTGTAAATTCTGTACCTGTCACCATGACAGCCATGTTTAATTGTGTAGGTTGCATGTATTCTGGATCTGCAAGCAGGAGATTGGGAACAAATCCACCAGTTCTGTATTCTTGATATTAGTTCTGATCCTTGAAAATGTTCTCTTTATATTAAAAATAAGAGTGCCATCTTTATCCTTAATAAAAATAACAATACTTGGTAATATCTTAAGCACTAAATTGTGTAAAGCAGCATATGTTTTTTGTAGATTCGTTATATTTTCTTCCCAGTTGGTATTTGTTTGATCAGAAAATCTGTTGTATTTTGTTTATTCCCATACTGAAGATGCTTCAATGAACAGGTTCAGGGTCAATGGAAGGTCAAGAATTCCAACATGATTAACTTGTGCAAGGAAGCCAAGAAACTAAAGGATACACTTCATTCTTTTGCGATTAATCATGTTTCCAGGTTATCTATGTATATTTCCTTGTAGAATTTATTTGACACAGTTCTTTAATAGAAGTCGATTGTTTTCATTTTCTGGCAACTCTAATTTTTCTTGCTTTGTTTATTTCATGGCTAAAATATTTTGTGACTTGAATTAATATTTGCTGAAGCACACGCAAAAATAAGTTCTTCATTTGGGAACCATTATTATAGTTCGTACATTTTCCCTTGGACTGTTTTTCTACGTGCATGCTTTAGGCACAAAAAATATGCTTCATTAAGTTATATGATAGATGTCCAGGTCATAGCCATGGTAAGATGGTTGCCTAAGGTAAAAACATATAGAATATCTAAATGTTCACTCAACTGAGCACATTTTTTTTTAATGGATCACATGAAGGTTCATCCATTCACTGTATAGAACCATATCTTGATAATGCAGTGCATAACTTTTAGGATAGGCCTAGGCATGAACTTAACATGTTTGCAATTTTGCATCATTATTGAGTGGTGGTTCCAGCTTTCCAAGGTCTTGGGAGGGGTAGACTGGATACAGATCCGACCTTTGGCTTTTTTGGCACAAAGTACCCACTAAAATAATTGGAACGTCATTCTCACACTTGTCATCCTAAATTTTACCTTTGCATCAAGCAATGACCCCTTGAACTTGAAACATGTTATTCGTTTTGAGTGTAATTTGGAAATTGGTTTTGTTCCTACATCTAATGTCACAAACCCCTATTGGCAAGAAAAGCTCAACATGGTCACTAGGGTCTAGGAGGAGATACGTAATTACATATATTTTAGAAACAACCTGCTTGCTTGAGGATATGTGTTCCTTTGATATTCTTAGATAACACCAAGAAACTTGTAATCATCCTTGCTTGTCCAGCCCTGATCAGTCATGGGTAGAATATTAATGTGATGTAGTTATGATGTTGTAGATCCTTGTTTGCTTGTATTTGCACAGTTCAAATCCCTTAACTGTGCCCATGATGCTGGAAACATGCAAACCGTGTTATAAATCAGCTAATCAACTGTTAAATATGAACATTTTCTCCTTAGTATTACATTTCATTTATGTTCTTTTTTATAGTTAAAATTAGTTAGCATACTGCCATCGACATCATTAGTCAAGAATGTAATCAATGAATAAACTTTTTCCAATTTCATCTTGTCAAAACTGATTTCTTTTCTGAGTGTTTCTATGTATCTGTTTTTTATTTGTTTTCYTTGTTTGTTCTCCACTGGTTACTGACTCATCTGACACATTCCACTATACCTACCATAGGACTTCAACTTGGCCGCCGATGTCCAAGCAAATTTAGCAATAAATCTTGAGGGTGATGCCTCCAACTTTTAAATTGTTTCTTCTAGTTTGTGTTATTCATTGATTCCTTAACATTGTTTGTATCTCTGTATTTTTAGATGGTGAGGTTGAAGAGGAAGTCAGAGTGAAGAACAAAACTGGTTTTTTCCCGACTGGCTGAATACGAGTGCTTCAATAGAGATGGTGGTCAATGAAGCAACCAGGGCATCCAAGATTTCTACGCGCCAACGTGAGGGGGAGTATTGGCCTGAGCTGTAAACGAGGAGAGTATCCCTTAATTCCGGGATAACTCTTATCATAGTAATTTGTATGTAACTAGGAAAGGAAGAACAAGACAGTTCGGGTGTAACTAGGAGAGGTGTGTATATAACTCATTCGTTGCAAAGGAAAAAATAAGAAAAAAGGAAGAGTTTTTCTCCTTCTACTCGAGTTATCATGGTATCAGAGCATTACGGTCCGTGACAAACTCGTCTTCCTGATCGCTGCGAAGTCTTGGTTCGCCGGTGGGTGACCGCTGCTACTACTGCTGCAAGTCCGACGGTTGCTCCAACGTGTGGTTTGTTTTTCCTCTACCTAGAACTATCAACTCCACCGTGGTCGCCGGTGGTTGGCCGTTGATATTGCCGCTGCGAACTCTTGCTGAGTGCAACCCGACTCCTCTTCACATCAGACTTGTTGATTCCACCGTGATCACCGGTGGTTGGCCGCTACTACTGCCGCTGCAAGTCCGGCAGTTGATCTGCCAGATCTCTCCGTCTCATCGTGGTCGCCGGTGGTTGGCCGCTGATATCGCCGTTGCAAATTCTTGTTGAGTGCAACCTGCCTCATCCTCCTGATCGTTGCGAAATCTTGGACTCGTCTGTATCTTCGCAATCTGCAACGACCGAACCGAACATCGCTCTCTAATACTCAGCGTTAGGTGCGATTGTCGACTCCCTTCTCGCCGTCTCACCTTGGTCGCCGGTGGTTGGCTACCGTTGCAAGTCCGGTGGTTGCTCTGCCAGATCTCGCCGTCTCACCGTGGTCGCCAGTGGTTGGCCGCTAATATCGCCGCTGAAAATTCTTGTTGAGTGGCAACCCGCCTCGTCCTCCTGATCGCTGCAAAGTCTCGGACTCGCCTGCTTCCTCGAAATCTGCAACAACCGAACCGAACATCGCTCTCTAACACTCAGCGTGCGATTGTTGACTCCCTTCTACTCCGAGACCCATCGGCAAGAACACCCTACGACAGACACAACCATGTTTGATTCGGAAACCTCAGATCTGTTTGGAGAACGACCCAATCCTACCCTCACTGAACCTACCCTCACTGAATTGACCACCAGAATGACTGAGCTCCTGCACAGACCGACCCCAACTACAGAGACCTCCGCTGCTCAGATCGGCATTGAGTTAGATGGCACCAACTATGCTCTTTGGTCTCAAGTTGTTGAGATGTATATCTCTGGCAGAGACAAATTGGGATATATTAATGGCGAACTTCCTCAGCCTCCACAGACTGACCCGAGCTTTCGAAGGTAGCGCACCGACAATGCTATTGTTAATGGATGGTTAATTAACTCCATGGATGTATCCTTGATTGGTAACTTTATTCGATTCCCTACAACAAAGATGGTGTGGGATTCTGTTGCTACTACGTACTTTGATGGCAGTGATACCTCGTAAGTATACGATCTTCGGCGCCGTGTGACCCGCTTGCGCCAGTCTGGAGGGTCTCTTGGAAAGTATTATAATGATTTCCAAGGTTTGTGGCGAGAAATTGATTTCCGCCGTCCAAATCCGATGGAGTGTGCGGTGGATATTCAACGGTACAATACTCTTCTTCAAGAAGAGAGTGTACATCTTCTTAGATGGCCTTGATGATAGACTAGACAAGATTCAGGCAAATGTACTCCAAATGCATCTGTTTCCCACTATTGAATAAGCATACGCACATGTTCGGAGAGAAACTATCCGACAAAGGGTTATGATCACCGGTAACAATATGGAAACTCCGGGAGCTATTTTGGCCTCTAGAGGTGTTAAAACTGGGCAACTTACGCCCTCCTCAACGGGCTCTCTGCCTTCAAGCAACGAAAAATCTGGTACGTCTAAATCTCGAACATCTTCTAGTGGAATGAAGTGTTCCCATTGTGGTAACTCAAAGCATATCCAAGAGAATTGCTTCAAGCTACATGGCTATCCCGACTGGTGGCATGAACTCCAAACCCGGAAACGTCAAGACAAGGCCGAGACTAGTGGTAAGGCTGCAACGGTTACAACAGAATCTCAACTCTCACCACAGGGAGACGTACACCTCTCGGATTCAGGTAACAATCTTCCCAACAAAACTATTGATGCATGGATACTTGACTCAGGGGCTACTGACCACATGACCTATGATGCTACTGATTTTTCAAAGACTTCACCACCAAGACGGACTACAATTGCTAATGCCAATGGGGCTATCTCTGAAGTCACAGGAGCAGGCACTATGACCTTGTCACCTACAATATCCTTGAAAAACACCTTGCTTGTTCCCTCTCTCTCCCATAAATTACTGTATGTTAGCCAAATCTCCTCTGATCTAAATTGTGTTGTGCTCATTTATCCTACTTTTTGTCCTCTTCAGGATATTCTCACCAAGGAGATAATTGGGCGTGGTACTAGGAGGGGGGGGGGGTTCTACTACATGGATGATCTCGGCACGGGTCAAGCACATCATGCACAACATCAAAGTAACACCAGAGAACAACAGATTTGGATGTGGCATCGCCGGTTAGGACATCCATCATTCGGTTACATGAAACACTTATTTCCGGAGTTATTTAYAGATATACAGCCTCATGATTTTCAGTGTAACACTTGCATCTTAGCTAAGAGTCATAAAACTATTTATCCCTTAAGTATGAATAAGAGTAGAGTTCCATTTGCTTTGATTCACTCTGATGTGTGGGGGGGCCATCCCCGGTAACTACAGTGTCTGGATTTCGCTGGTTTGTAATATTTGTTGATGACTTTACTCGCATGACATGGTTATATCTGCTGAAACATAAAGATGAAGTGTTGATTGTATTTCAATCTTTCATATGATGGTAAAGACTCCGTTCACGTCACAGATCCAGGTATTCAGGTCTGATAATGGCGGGGAATACATGAATCAACGGTTCCAAGATTATTTTCGGATTCATGGGTTACTTCATGAGACTTTATGCCCACAAACTCCACAGCAAAATGGCATTGCTGAGAGGAAGAACCGGCACATACTCGAAACTGCCCGCGCTATGTTACTTGGAGCACATGTACCTAACCGACATTGGGCTGATGTTGTTGCTACCGCCATGCACCTCCTTAATCGAATGCCATCACGGGTCTTACAGTTTAAAACACCATTACAAGTTCTTTCATCACATGTCTCCTTGCCATCCGTTTTGATGATTCCACCTCGAGTTTTTGGCTGTGTAGCATTCGTGCATCTACACATAAAAATCAATGCACAAAACTGGATCCACGAGCAGTTAGATGCTTATTTTTGGGGTTGCGCTACACCAGAAGGGGTGCCGATGCTATGACCCAGTCACCCACCGCACCTATGTTACCATGGATGTTACCTTTCAAGAATTAGAAATATTCTACTCTCCTTCCAAAACCAATTTTTCTTTTTAGGGGGAGAGTCAGAGCGAAGAACAGAACTTGTTTTTTCCCGACTGGCTGAATACGAGTGCTTCAACAGAGATGGTGGTCAATGAAGCAACCGGAGCATCCAAGATTTGTACGCGCCAACATGAGGGGGAGTATTGGCGTGAGCTGTAAACGAGGAGAGTATCCCTTAATTTTGGGATAACTCTTATCATAGTAATTTGTATGTAACTAGGAAAGGAAGAACAAGACAATTCGGGTGTAACTAAGAGAGGTGTGTATATAACTCATTCGTTGCAAAGGAAAAAATAAGAAAAAATGAAGAGTTTTTCTCCTTCTACTCGAGTTATCAAAGGACTGTGACAAAAAGTAGCTCGATCAGGTTATCAATGTTACTGGATTAATATGGTTAGCTGAAGTGCAAATGAGACATTTCGGAACTCAAACACGTTGACCCTTCTAGAGTTTCATCTGAAGTGGAAATTTGGATGATCGTCTGGGTCGTCTAGAAAGCTGTATCAAGTATCAACAGGTTGTGGGCGTCGGTATTTGATGTCTGTGCTGGGACTTAGGAGTGTATGTATATTTTATGCATGAGGGATCTACCCCATATCAGCCACTTGTACCCAACTATATATTAATGTTTATGATACTTTGTTCCGTTGTGTGCTTAAGATAAGTATGGAGATTCTCTCTCTCTCTCCACCCAATCAAGGGTTTCGGTGACAATGCTGGCTGACACCTGCAAAGTGGCTAATGTCGTGAATAATGTCATCTCACCAATAAGAGTTGAGGCTGCGCCATGGCTCATTGGAAGGAAGTAGGTGTTTATTTTTGTTTAAGCTGTCAAGTGCTGCACCTGCAATGAACCAGCCCCAGTTTAGATTTTTTGGATGAATGACAATGCCTCAAAGGTAAAGGAAGAGCATATACTTTGTAGAGAGGAAACCATCGATAGTCCAGTATAAAAGTGAGAAGGCCTAGGTTTGGTTTCATTCGTCATTCACGTTCCAAAAGAGAATGGACACAAGCGTTTGGAATAAAGTTAAGGGAGATTTATTGGAGACAAGCAAGCGAACATGTTCCAAAGCTGTTCATCTTTAGCATCTCTCTACTGACATCTGTTTGGTTTTGGTGATATTACTGTTTTAGTACTATGTAAATGTAATGCAGTCCACCATCCTTCTTGTTACGCACTGCTGCTTTCTGGTAATGATGACATCATCATTACCATAACGTCCCACAGCGTCCTAACGTCCCACCAGATTGCCTCCCATAATGTCCCACAGCACATCCCTGCTTTGTATTGTGAACATCTCCTAATGATGATATCATCATTTCTGATATCATCATCGGGAGATGTTCTCAATACACAGCTTGAATGTGCTGTGGGACGTTGTGGGGGGCTGATTTGCTCTCGTGAAAAATGTTGGTTTCTGGTTTCTTCCCTTGTTTTACAGTTTCAATTCCATGCTGAAGTTGAAGTTTAACAATTTGGAAAATCATGGATGGTTTTTCCATAAGGATATAATCATTTAACACTCATAATCCATCCATTGGTTACATACACAGCGTAATGAGCAGCTGATMCTGAGTGCAAGTGGTAAAGCTCATGTCAAAAGTGATTTCCAATTTTTGCCGCTCTCAGATTTTAATCCACCTCTTAAATCCTATTTCTTCTTTCTTCATAGTTCTCTACACTTTTCCCCCCTTATATCCAAATCCCCAACGTCCGTCTTCCCTAACTCACATTTTACTCCTCTCCTTTATTTTGGCATCAAATCTAACTATTTTGTTTATCATTTATAAGATACCCAATTCCTTTTGGTTCTATAACTTGCTTCATGGCAAAACATGTATATTTTAAGCATGTTGTGCATTCTAAAAGCTGTCCTCATATAGTTGGGATAAGGCATGAATGAAGATGCATATTTTGAAGAATTGACTCCGTATAGTTGAGATAAGGCATGTATGATGGTGATAATGGTGTATATTTCAATAGGTTGAGTTTAGTTTCGGAAAACATCAAAATCTTGCATATCAAATGTGAGCCCGAATTTTCCGCAAGTAAAAAATGTGCACATGCAGAATTCAATTACATATCAGTAATCTCTCTCGTAGATGTATGTTAAATTTATAGGAAGGTGTTTTTAATGCTATCTTAGAGATTGTATGTAAAGGGTTTGTCTAACATCCCACTTCAAATGCAACACACCTTTAAAAACCCAATAAACATTAATTTAATATTTTAATAAAATAATTATATATTTTATACTTGAATGCTTTAAAATACATTATAATGCAAATCAATACCAAATATTGTGATGAATTTCAAAACCTACCATTTCAAACATTCAACATTGAGGTGCAATAAATTAGAACACACCCACATTTTAGGGAGAATGATGATTTAGCCTAGGGTCAGAATTTGCAGGCTCAAAGTATATTTGGGGTGGGTGCCAGTTCATAATTGATGTTAATTTACGGGTGGATATAGGTGCATAGAATGTGGGTTTTGATCTTTTGAATGTTTATACCTCTGCAATGGAAATCAGAAATCTGCATTGGACCTATTTGTACTTCTCGCACATTTTTATGACAATGTCTACCCAAAAATCGAAAATGATTTACAGGATGTTTTTATTTTTATTTTTTGTAATAGTTTAATGAATACTCCAGAAAATTAAATATAAAATAGGTTTGAGCTGTTAACCTGGTTCGGCGCAAACCAACGCTAGACCACATATCCAAAAATGGATATGCGAACCAAAACAATTTTTTACATGAATTCTGAATAAAGTTATATTCTTATTCACATTTATCGTAATTCTGATATTAATTATTAATTAATTAAAATATCACATTCTCTCTTTTTCTTAAAAATCTCACATACCACCCCCACCCCTCGCTCTCTCTGCTTCCTCTCTTAAGTCTTAACTCAAGTCTAAACTTTACATCGGGATTACAACAGATATATGCATGTCGTTCCATCAAACACCAATCTCTCATGGCCACGTTCTTGCTATCTGACCTTGCCGGAGATCCTCCTTTCTCCCGGCCGATCTCCGGCAGAACTCGCCCCAAGATGATCTGAAAGTAAACCTTTCTTGATTGGCACGTGGGGCCTCTATTATAATTTCTCCATACATCTATCATTTTTTCTTTCTTGTCCCCACGGCAGTTAGTCCGGCGATTGCCTGTAAGAATTCATCAATTGTCGTCATATTCCGCTGACTCTGTTCTTACACATTATTGAAGTTTCTGGTGGCATTCCTCAGGCGTTCGGTCTTCCGTTTTCGTTGCGCCTTTTATTTCCCTTTTGTTTCTTCCCGGAATCAGGTCAGAGTTCAAGAATCCATTCGAATTGGCTTTTTCTTGTGTGTGTTGAATTCTTCCTTTCAATTCCTCTTGAACTTGAAAGGGTTTACATTTGTCCTCCGACGAAATTAGGTCAAAACGTTTCCTTTATTCCTTCTCTCTGCTTCTTATTCTGTTACTACCGCTTGGAAGATTCTAGCTTGTTCCGCCCATCTGGAAATCTTTAAATCTTCGTCCGAATTTTCAGATTTGATAAGGTTTTCCCCTTTTTATCTCAAGCGGCTGCAAAATTGGTTAGTTCGTCTTCTATTCAGCTCAGGCTCGTGTTTTTTTTTTTTTTTGATTGGTTTAAATCTCGTGATTTTTGCTTAGAAGTGTTCTATGTCGGTTCTCTTTTTCTATTTTATGACATTCGATTTGGATCTCGAGCTTCAACCTCGTCGTTGAAAACTGAGAAGTTCATAAAAACCAGGTTTTGTTCTCTTCTGGTGGGGGAATTTTAAGGAATGTCTGGGGCGGGGCAGGCCGTCAAACACGTAGATTTTTCAAAAATGGAGACCAAGAAGACATCGGAAGATGAACGGCGTTCAGGTTGTTGCAATCCTGTCAAGACATCGGGGCCTGTGTCCATGGATCATGTCCTTCTAGCACTGCGTGAAACCAAGGAAGAGAGGGAGCTGAGGATCCGCAGTCTTTTTAATTTCTTCGATGTTGCGGATGTCGGATTTTTGGACTATGCGCAGATTGAGGCAGGCCTTTCTGCACTACAGATACCTGCGGAATATAAGTACGCAAAGGATCTTTTAAAGGTCTGTGATGCAAATAGAGATGGCCGGGTTGATTACCAAGAGTTCCGACGGTATATGGATGACAAAGAACTTGAGCTTTATCGCATCTTTCAGGCTATTGATGTTGAGCATAATGGTTGCATTTTACCAGAAGAGCTCTGGGACGCCCTTGTTAGAGCTGGTATTCCATATTTTCTATCTTATACTAATTCTTATTTACCCTTTTTTTTTTCTTTTTCTGTTGTTATCCTGCAAAAAGTAGTAATACGTATAAATAGTTATCGTTAAAGTAGTTATTATTGGGTGCTTCTTACCTGTTGGAGAAAATTCACAAATTCACCCACGGCCACAAGCTTTYACTCTTCTACTAACTTTTTTTTTTATAGACCCCCAAAAGCCAATCTCTTTCACAGCCCTGCAATCCTTACAAAAGAAAAGCAAAAATCCACTCCTGACCCTACCCAGATCCATTCTTACAATTAGAGCACCATCCTGAAAGCCTAATCTCCCAAGATCAACAAACTAAGAGCATACCCACTAAATCCAACTTCAAAAGAACTGACACAGCCTGCAACACGATTCCATCATTGAACCTCTTTGCTAACTGGAACCAGAACCCCTTCGCTTCTCTTTAGGACAAGCCCCCCAAATCTGGCAAAAGCTTTTTGAAACTTGTGCCACTCTTGTCTGTTTCTGGGATCTGAACCTTCTTACTGCATTAAGAACAGTCTCTGAATTCTTCAAGTTCTTGGAGTTTTCAATTATTCTTTCTAATTCTAAAACCACATTCCTCTTGAAGATTTGTCCCACTGCCGGCCCTTGATCCTCCTTGCAACCATCCCCTAACAGCCTCTGAAGACCTATTGTTTTGTGCTTCATCAATCATCTTTTCTTTTTTCTTTCACTGGCTTCGCTCTTGTCAGAAATCAACTTTTCTTTTCCTTTCCACATGATTGGCCTCCCACAATTTTCTTCCAGATCCTTAAACTTTTTCCTTGTAAATTCTCCCCCCCCCCATAAATTCTATTTATGGGTTTCATCAATCATTATTTCATTTTCATTCGAATCCTTCATCACTCTCATCTTCCACCCCTTTATATTCCTACAGAGTTCTTGTCCTATAGCTCTGCTTCCCATTATAAACTACTGCTCGAAAAGCCCCCATTGACTTCTTTCTCTCCTTTTCTGTTTTGAGATTTTTTTTTGAGAGGAAATGGTAACTTTCATTAGCTTAATATGAGAAGAAATACAACTGTTGCCTACAGAGACATAAGGTGACCCCTCATCAAATAATCAGATTACAAAACAGCCCAAAACAAAGACTCCCGATTAAATCCTTGCTTTGCTAGAGTGTCTGGTAAAGCATTTTCTGTCCTCCTAGTCCATTTAAAATGTGCACCCAGCTCCCTTGTTTGCATCCAGCCTACTACTAATTTTGAGTGCCCCTCCACTTCTAACTGTTGAAAGCCCAATTGCTTAGCCAATTTGAGCCCCTAGAGGAGGGCCAACACTTGTGCTCTAAGAGAAACACCCAACCCTATTGGGCCAGAAAAATTGGCCAGGATTCTTCCTCTTGTATCTATAAAAACACCCCTATTCTAGAGGGGCCTGAGTTACCGATAGAGTTTCCATCAAAGTTTAGTTTCACATTACACTGCATAGGAAAATATTAGAAGACCAATCCTCTTGAATGGTAGAAGATGAAACAGAAGACCCTGCCATTATGCTCCAACCTCTAGTTAAGTCATCTATAGAGACATCCTTGAATAAGTCTAGAGTTTTCAACTAATGTATGGCCTTGATGGTGATCCTTTCTATAAGTTCAGGAACTGTTTTTTCTTTCCCTTGGAAAATCCTGTTATTTCTCTCTTCCCAAATTGCCCACAAGATAGCTATCCTTGTTCTCCACATCACCCTTACCTTCTTCTTTGGTTGTTGAAAGAAACTAGGGTCAAAAAGATCTACACTTGAGGGAGGATTCCACCTGCAATCAAAGAGAGAGGAGAACCAACCCCAAATAAGAGCAACAAAAGGACAAGATATTAATAAATAATAGGTATTCATTGTCTCTCCACTCCTCAAGCAAAGGCTATAAACATGTGGGGACAAGCACCAATTTGGTCTTTTTCTTTGAATCACTTCCAAGGTATTAATTTTTTGGGGAACCACTTCCCAACAAAAAGTCCTTACCTTTGGAGGTATTGGAGCACACCATACTTCTTTAATAGGAAAGGATGTAAGTATGTAACCAAGTTAGTAGGTAGTACTAGAGCATTAAAAAAAGGAAGAACAAGAATAGCAGCTTGAAGAGGACTCGGTCCAAACTCTACTATTAGGACAAGACTGGTCCAAATACACTGAGTTTAGAAGAGAAAATAGTTCATGTGTCGATCCCACTTCTGAGTACCTCAAACCTCTCCTTAATCCTAGATCCCATTAATTCCCAAAGACACAAAAAGAAGAAATAATCTTAAATTTGTTCATAGAGAGGGAATGCATGATCGAGAATCTATCCTTAAGAGGAGATCAGGAGAGTCCCCAATCCAAGTGTCCTCTCCAAAATGAACCTTATTACCCAGCAGGCATCATGCCTAATGAAAGGGGAGAAAGCGGGCAGGACACCAACAATGTCTTTCCATGGGGAAGAACAAGATTCAAACTCAACTGGCCCTGGATCTGTATCAAAACCATTTTTCTTCTTAGATTTTGTGCTGTTAGTAATCTCCAAGAATTCTCCCTCACCCTTTTCTTCCTTGTCATCCTCCTCCCTACACTTTAAAAGCTCTTCCTCCAGTCCTCCTCCTCCTCCTGACCTTTCTTCCCCCCTACCTCCCTTGTGTTCCCATTGATTTTTTTTTTTATTGGAAATGGTGACTTTCATTAAGGATATCAAATTACATCTTGCACTGTCAACCACTCAAACAAAGAGTGTTGACCCCAACATGACATCAAGAATTACAGTACAGCCCAAAAGAAGTTTTCCCTGAAGGTCCCCTGTTTTGCCAAGCTATCTGCCACAGAATTTGCTGATCTCCTTACCCATTTGAAGATTACTCCAACTTCCCTTGCCAAGCAGATTATTTCCCTTATTTGCTGTCTAAACTTCCATACACCCAAACTCTTTGTTTGCAGCCACCCTATTATCAATTTAGAGTCCCCTTCCACCTCCAAGTTCTGAAATTCCCATTGTTTTGCAAATCTCAGGCCTTGTAGTAGAGCCAAAATTTCAGCTCTCATAGAGTCTCCCACTCCTATGAGACCAAAAGTATAGTGCCACCATTCTGCCATCCCCATCCCTAAAGACTCCCCCAACTCCCGAGGGTCCTGGGTTACCCATGGAGCTTCCATCAAAATTTAATTTGACCCTTTGTTGTGCTGCAGGTGTCCAAGAAGGCTGAGGGACAGGTTGTTTGGTTGAAGAGTTTGCCACTGCTGACCATCCCCTTTGTATATCATCCACTGAAAAGTCTTTAAATAAGTCACTTACTTTCAGCTAATGTATGACTTTAATGGCTACACAGTCAATAATTTGTTCTGATGATCTTTGTGCCCCTTGGAATATTCTGTTATTCCTTCTTTCCATAAGGACCAAAGAATGRCTGCTCTTGTTGCCCTCCACATCACTCTCCCCCTTTTCTTTGATAGGAGGAAGAAGCTTGGGTTGAAAAGACTTGTCACATTTGGAGGAGAGATCCACCTACAACCAAATAAGGAAGAGAACCAATTCCACACACAAGAAGCAAAGGGACAAGAAAGTAACAGATGTGTAACTGTCTCACCATTTCCTAAACAAAGGCAACAAACATGAGGGGAGAGGCAATGATTTGGCCTTCTTTTTTGTAGATTATCCAGAGTATTAATTTTCTGGAGCACCACCTCCTAACAAAAGGCTCTTATTTTTGGGGGTACAGGACTACACTAGACTTCCTTTGTAGGAAAGGAGTCTCTTGGGTGTGAGGAATGAAGGAGGGAAGAGAAAAAAGAGGCACAGGTATAGGAGCCAGAGGGGGACTCTGACCAAATTCTGTTGTCCTGGTAAGAGAGGTCTAGGAATGTAGTATTAAGAAGGGAAATTAGTTCATCTACTAAGCCCATTTCATGTTCCCTTAACCCTCTCCTTAATCCTAGATCCCAAGAGTTTTCATTAACAAGCAATGAAGAAATCACTTTCCCTTTATTGAGGGACAAAGAAAAAATAGGTGGAAATCTGTCTTTGAGAGGAATGTCCCCAAGCCAGATATCCTCTTAGAAACGGACTTTGTTACCCATACAAGCATCATACCTTACCAGTTGAAGGAAAGATGGTAGCAAATTGTGAATTCCTTTCCAAGGAGAAGCCCTTGTTGCCCTAGGATCAAGGCCAGTGTCCCATCCGTTGTCTGCCATGCCATGGATGCTTACAATTACCTTATGCCATAAGTTCTCTTGTTCCAAGGGAAACCTCCATWGCCATTTACCCGGCAGTGCCAAGTTCCTAAGTTTAATGTTTCCTACCCCTAGGCCTTCACTATCCCTACTCCTTGAAACCACCTCCCACTTTACCAAATGATCCTTTTTTGTATCCCCTGGCTCCCACAAGAAGTCTCTCATCAGTTTCTCCAGTTTTTTGGCCACTTTTAAGGGGATCCTAAAGGTTGAGGGGTAATAGACTAGCAAATTAGTCAATGTTGAATTTATTAGTGTTATTCTACCCCCTAGAGAAAATGTAGTTTCTCTTCTAGCCAGCAAGCCTTTTTGTGAATCTTTCCACTACTGGATCCTAGAAGCTGACAGAAGTCGGGTTCCCTCCCAAGGGTAGACCAAGGTACTGTAGAGGCCACTCACCTACTTCACAACACAACAAACTAGCTAGGCTTTCAACCTCTCCTCTCTCCTTACTTAATCCTGCTACACAACTTTTGCTCCAATTTACTTTGAGGTTGGAGACCTTTTCGAAAAGGGATACCACCCTTTGTAAATTTGTCAATTCCTCCCTTTCTCCTTCGCAAAAAATTAGAATATCATCTGCAAATTGTAAATGGGTAACCACCACATTATTCCTTCAAATTCTCCAACCTCGTATCAAATTGTTGGCATCAGCCCTTGAGATCAAATCACTAAACACATCTGTTATTAGAGTGAAGGGGAAGGGGGACAGGGGGCCACCTTGTTGAAGGCCCCTTTTAGCTGGAAAGAAATCTCTGGCAACTCCATTAACCAAAATGGAATAATGACAGGAGGAAATACAGCCCCTTATCCATTTGCACTATCTCGCTCTAAAACCTCTCAACCTTAACACTTCTAGAAGGAAATCCCAATCCACCAAATCATAGGCTTTCTCTAGGTCCAATTTGCAAATTAGCCCTTTTTCGTTTCTTTGTTTTTTAAACTCCATACACTCATTTGCAATAAGGATTTGGTCTATTATTTGTCTTCCAAACACAAAAGCCCCTTGATTTGGAGAGATTAAAGATGGAAGAACTCTTTTAATTCTCTCAGCTAACACCTTGGAGATAATTTTGTACATGCTACCCACAAGGCTTATGGGTCTAAAATCTTTTGGGTGGGAGGCATCTAGGGTCTTAGGGATCAAAGTGATAAAGGTAGCATTTGCCCCTGAGTTGAAATTTCCCCTCTCAAAGAATTCAGCAAAAACTTCCACTAAATCAGCACCCACAATTTCCCAACAATCTTGAAAAAAAGCCATCGTAAAACCATTTGGGCCCAGGGCTTGGATCTTTCCATAGAGAATATAGCTTCTTTTATTTCTTGGACTTCAAAAACCTTCTTCAGGGATTCCATCAATACCCTAACACCTCTTCTCCAATCAAACTTTTCTAGGGGATCTCTGGAGCCTCCCTGACTATTAAAAATACCTTTGAAGTGATCCACAAAAGCATGTGCTATATCCCCTTCCCTAGTTAGGGTTTGCCCATTCCACACTAGCTGAACAATAGAGTTTCTTCTTTTTCTCCCATTTGCTACTAAGTGGAAAAAACTTATATTTCCATCACCTTCCTTTAGCCACCTACATCTAGATTTCTGTCTGCAGCAAATCTCCTTTTTCCTCAAAATCTCATCCAGCTCATGCTTTAGTCTCCACCTCTCAGATTTCGCTTCCTCTCTTATTGTCCTTTCCCCATCCAGCTCATCTAATTCCTCTATTCTATGTGAGATGTGTGTCTTTCTTTCCTCCAAAGACCCAAAAACTTCCTTATTCCACTCTTTGATCCTGCCCTTCAACCTTTGCAGTTTTTTGTAAAATCCAAAACCCTTCCATCTAAACTCCACTTGGTCTTCTTCCCACCATTCTTTCACTTTTGATTTGAAATCCGGATGTGGCAGCCACATGTTCTCAAACCTAAAAGGGCAGGGCTCTCCTCCCACTCTTTCTTCAGAGATGGTGATAGGACAGTGATCCGAAGTAGTTCTAGGTAAGGCCCTAACCATTAGACTCTGCCACCTTTCCTCCCAATCTAAAGAAAAGAGAAATCTGTCTAGCTTGCAACAAATAGGTATCTCTTGAAAATTGGACCAAGTGAACTTTGCTTGAAGAAGGGGCAGCTCTCTCAGTTCATTTGTATCTACAAAAAGATTGAATTTTCTCATACTGGAGGTAATCCTACGGCTAGGGTTATTTGTTTCCTGAAGGAACCTAATCACATTGAAATCACCCCCCAAACACCATGGGCCCTCCCACAGACCCCTGATTGCTGCCAGCTCTTCCTAGAAATCTTCTCTCTCCCTGTAAGAATTCGGCCCATAGACATTGGTTAGAACCCAAACAAAACCATCTGTCTTTCTTTTTATCTTGATTGAGACTGAAAAGTTTCCTATCAGTTCTTCCATGCACTCAAAATTATCGCTCTTCCATATAGTGATGATTCATCCAGAAGATCCCCAAGATTGTGAGAAGGCCCAACTAATTCCCCTAGCAGTCCAAATCTGTCTTATCCACATCCATCAATTTGGACTCTTGAATCAGCATAAAGTCTGGCTTCTCCTTTCTTAACAGCTCTCTTATTGCTCTTCCCAAACCTCTTACATTCCAGCTTAAAATCTTTATGTAGAAACAAACTAAACTCTGTCCCCCTTTTTTATTGACACCCTTTGCTTTACCTTTTCCTATCTTTTCTCTCAACGCTCCCTTTGTCATACACTACATCACATCGCAACCTCTCCACCTCAGTTAGCTTCTTCGTCCTTTTCTTGTTTGAGCCTCCTGTGATCTTGCTTCGACCCTTTTGCTCACTCAACTTTCCCTTTCTGACCCTTTTTCTAACCCTACCTCTCCTATTATTTTTTTGTGACCCTTTTTTCCTTGTAGTCAAAGCTTCTAACTCCTTCCTCACCTCTTTTGGCTTTGAAAGAGGACTGTCACCCTCCCCACCCTTTCTCCTCTCACTTTCTAGTTCATCCTTCACCATGATCCTAAGGATCTCCAAAATCATCTCCCAGATTCTGTCACCTTCCTCCCCGTCAACTGTCGGCATCTTATCACTACCCACTACTTCTGTCGAAGCACTGGCAGTGGCAGACTTGGATGTTGGGCTGGTCTCTCCTGTGAACAAAGGACTAGAAGAAAGATTAATACCCACAAAAACCAAAGGAGACATCATACCTTGTGACTGAGAAGGAGACACACTAGGATTTGGAAAGTTCTGGTTTCTGAGACTTAGCCTTTTGCCAGGGGTGACACTCTTTGAATCAATACTTGGAGAAAAGTTTGGGGGTATGGGGTCTGTCATTGCCTTGCCGAGAGCTAGTGGGAGTGTTACAATCAGTTCCTTCTTGTCCTTGATCTTGTACGTTTTCTGGTTTTCCGTCCCTTTCTGACTGAGTTTCCCTCTCAACCGAAGGACTTGCATTTTCCACCATCGTTGCCCCTACTTCCAATCCATTAAAACGCTCTTCAAATAGTAAGGCTAGACCGTTTGCCTCCACTGAGTCCATCAAAGCTTTTGATTTGCTTTCCACACTTCATGGGCTAGGGGAAACTGTAAAAACTTCATCATTTGTATTCTCTTCATTGCAGCTGACCCAATCTGTATCAAACACATCGTCCTTGTCCCTTTGCCGATCGTACCTTGGGCTTGGTTTCTCTGGGCTAATAGAGTAGGAAACCAGCCTGGGTTTCCATGTCCATACTCCTCCCGCACTGTTCTGATCTCTCTGTTTTTCTAATTGGTTGGTCTTGGGTTGGGACGATGATAGACCGGGAGAAGCGTATGGTGTCGCTCGGTTCCTCCCTCCTGTCACATGACTTTTTAGGAAGTCACATGACCTCCTCAAATTTGGTCCACCTCTGTTTGCTGGCCCAACTGGATTTGGCCCAGTTACTTTCGGCCTTAAAACAGGGCTTTCTTTACCCGGCCCCACGTGCCCATTTAAGGGCCCACGTGGCTGTTTCAACCAATCAGTTTGCAAGCCTGTTTCACCAGCTGCCCCCTTCGAACCACAAAGCCCAATGTCCAGCTGTCTTTCTTCAGATTTTGACGCAACCACCTGGGCAAACGATCTGAATTTAGCCATTGGGGTTTGAACTCCTGAGCCTGATTTGTTGATAAATAGAGGAAAAAGTTTCTCTGTCTTCGTCTTCTCCAGAGCCACAGTTTCAACTCCAGAGCCATTGAATTTTCTTCAGTTGCAACTCCTAAACTTCTCTCTACCCCAATTTGAACTCCACTATCACTCTTCTACCAACTTTCACCATGACCAGATTACCAGAGTACAATCTTTCCTGGTATCTTATTATTATCAGTCACAACAGTTGCAATTTGTTTTAGCATTTCATTTGATATTGACAGCCACTCTTGCTAGGAGTAGAAGCAGGTATTGCAATGTTGCAAAAACTATAAGCAAGGAAGGAGAGCTTAATTTACAGTTGTAACATTACCTGTGTTAGTGGCAGAGATAAAAGAGAGAAATTGATCTAAAGCACAGGCTTTATTTCTTTTAAAGGGAATCTCCAGAAAACTAGTTAAAAAAACTATACATTATACTTTAGGGTTCGGAAACGATGCCGGAAAGACATGATACTGGAAAAACTTTTAACCAATCAACCGATATCATAAAAGTGGTAACCAATCAGGTGGGTTTTTATCAAAATTTATGCGGGGAGGGGGGGGCTGGTTGATTGGTCAAATCCTTTCCAGTATCATGTCTTTCTGGCATCATAGATTTTCCCTATATGGTCATTCTTGGGCACAGGGTGCAGGTGGTCATTTTGGACTTTTCTTTTTGTATGTTGGTGTCCTTGGGTGCATCTGTTTTAGTGTTGTCTTTTCTCTCGGGTGATTTCTTGTCACCTTTCCCTTTGTATTCTCTTTTTATTTTAATGAAAATTTCTTTACCCTTCAAAAAAATTATTGGGATCAGATCCATGGATTTTCTACTGCTTAAAACCAAATATCCCTTACCATACCACTTCAAAAAAAATTATTTGAATTGTGGCTTTTCCCATAGTCATTTATGACTTAACAGTCATATATGCACTATTTTGGTATTTCCTTTTTTCAGTCAGTTTTCCTTCTATAAGCCATGGCAGTTTATTTTCTGCAGGTATTGAAATTGATGATGAAGAACTTGCCCGTTTTGTGGAACATGTGGACAAGGATAACAATGGAGTTATAACATTTGAAGAATGGAGAGATTTCCTTCTACTCTATCCCCATGAGGCTACTATTGAGAATATTTATCATTACCTGGAGAGGGTATGCCTTGTAGATATTGGGGAGCAGGCTGTTATTCCAGAAGGCATCAGCAAGCATGTCCATGCAAGCAGATATTTAATAGCAGGAGGTGTTGCAGGAGCAACATCCCGTACTGTGACAGCTCCTCTTGATCGCTTAAAGGTGGTTTTGCAAGTCCAGACAACACGTGCTTGCATTATGCCTTCCATAAAGGACATATGGCGGGAAGGTGGTTTTCTGGGATTTTTCCGAGGGAATGGATTAAATGTTCTGAAGGTAACACCTGAAAGTGCTATAAGGTTTTACACTTATGAAATGCTGAAGAATTTGATTGTCAATGCTAAAGGGGAAGAAAAGGATGGTATTGGTACTTCTGGGTGCCTTGTTGCCGGTGGTATTGCAGGTGCAGTTGCACAGACTGCTATTTATCCAATGGATCTTGTAAAAACTCGATTGCAGACTTATGCTTGTGAAGGTGGAAAAGTTCCTAAACTCAGAGCTTTAACAAAAGACATATGGATTCAAGAGGGGCCTCGAGCCTTCTACAGAGGTGTTGTTCCATCTCTTCTTGGGATTATTCCTTATGCAGGAATAGACCTTGCTGCATATGAGACCTTAAAAGATATGTCAAAAATATATATTCTCCATGATAGTGGTAAGATCTTTCACATTGCTTTTGCTTATGCTTTGTTTTTGTTTTTCCATTTTTGTCTTCCTTACCTTTTCTTTCTTTGTCAGTGCTATTAGATTGCTATTATAATTTCTTATGTTATCCTAAAAGTTTATATTTTCCATAGAACCTGGCCCACTTGTGCAACTGGGATGTGGGACAATTTCGGGTGCTCTTGGAGCGACATGTGTTTACCCATTACAGGTTATCAGAACAAGGTAAGTTCTCGGTTTTTGATGTATTTAGAACTTGTTTTTTGGTTGTCTTTCTGAATGGTTCTGGAGGGACCATTACTTGATGTAATGGTAAAATCTCGGGCTGGCATGCATGAGAATGCGAGTTTGAGTCTGAGGGCAGCCATTTTGTGCAAAAAATGCCAAAGGTTAGTGCTGTACCCAGTCTACCCCTCCCAAAATTCCCCAGATAGCTGGGACCAATATTGGGTAATGCTCCCCCTTTTTTCTGAACAGCTTTGTATCATCCTTGAGGGTTCCATCTCTTGAATCTAGTTTTTACTATTGATTTTCAGAATGCAAGCCCAGCGGTCTAATACAGCTGCTTCTTACAAAGGAATGTCAGATGTCTTTTGGAGAACCTTCAAGCATGAAGGTTTTAGAGGATTCTACAAAGGAATCTTTCCGAATCTGCTCAAGGTTGTGCCATCTGCAAGCATTACGTATCTTGTTTATGAAACTATGAAAAAGAGTCTTGATCTTGAATAATGGATAGGATGGCTTTGCCTGATGGCTACCATCATTGAGAAAGCTGGCTTCAGACTTTACATTGATGGTGGTAGTGGGAATGATGATGATGATAACAAGAAAATGTTACTAAGGGATGGGCAATGGGATTATTTCAGTTAATATTGGCAAGATGATACTTCCCGTTTCACAATACAAGGTGCATTATTGTATAGTCAAAGTTTTTGCAGGCATGTTTGAACTAACTACACTGAGTTACCTCAAGTTATGACACCTGACTTCCATGTACTAGGTATAGTTCTCTTTCTTCAAGATTTTTATTTCTTCATTCTTTTTTTGTGTGTCAGAATTGCTCTAAGTTGAACAAGCTATTTGTTTTGCTTCCATGAGTTCAGGTTTTGCTTATGAATCATTGGCTTCTGTTCTCTGAGTACATGTAAAGAGCTTGAAATGCAGACCCTGTTCTTCTGGCTTTACTTACTACGTTATGGGATTTTATGTATGGTTTATGTTGGGGAAAAGGTACAGACATAGGTTAGACGAGAATTTTTTAACGAGCAATCCATGATACTTTAATAATGTCCTAGTATGTCAAGGTGTACAAAAGAGGGCCCTGCTATAGCTCCAAAAGGCTTTACAGTGTTCCACCTGTACACCCAACACAGACTGATTGCAAAGATTTTCAATTTGGCTATAATTCTCTCTCAACCTACCAGCTGATTGCAACCATTTCCGTTTTGTGCGTATTAATTTTCCCAATTGTGCATCGACTTTTTCTACCTTGTATATTGTTTCAGAGGGCCTGCTTGGGATATGGCTCTGTTTAACAAAATGTGTAGGCATGCCCATATGTGTTACTTCCAGACTTATTAATGAAGGGATACAAAAGTTTATCTAGGTTTGAATTAGAATGCAATAAGGTTACTTGTTCAGACTTGAGCTTAGTTTATGCAGTTTTTCTTTTTTTTTTTCTTTAATTGGCATCCATTCACTGCATACGAGCTATTTTTATATATGAATATTGAATTTATGTTTACTTGCTCGTGTGCCACATCTATCACTTTGCATCTTATCTTGTCATTACAATGCCCTGCTCATTTTAAGGTTAACTTTACCAACATGTTGTTTGAATAGAGAATACCAGTTGGTTTATAAGGATGTTGGCATGTAGCATGTTGCAGAGTGCTTAAAAAAACTGTGGATATGCAAATGTAGGGATGAATTATGGGAAAACTAGATTGGACAAGATTCATTGTTTGTTGAGAAAATGAAGGAAAGTAGGTTAGGATGGCTTGGGCATGTGTCCATTGTTAAGAAGTTCTACCTTATATATATATATATATATATATATATATATATATATTCAGAATGGTGAAAGTGTCATTGTATTAGGAGGGAGAGAAAGCCTCATAGACTAATAATGGAGAGTTTAGGCTGTTAGAATGTATGCAAGGACAAGCAAGTAGACATATTAACTGAACTGAACAGATTAACTTATGAATTATGGCTTCTTTTTTTGGATGAAAACTACAGAAACGACTTCGGATAAGAAAAGAAGGAATACAAAAAGTAGCCTTGGTGGAAGCAGCATTTTGAGCTGGACCAGGCACTGAACCAGAAAGAGGCTGGTTTAGTTTCCTGATTTTATCAGCGAGTTGAACCACAAGACTGGTAGAAGTAACCAGTTTATGTACCAGAGTGGTGTCGTTCAGGTTTGACCTGGTTCTACTCTCTGGTCCATTCTAGTTTTCAAAACATAGAGTGGAGGAACTAAATAACAATGGGAGGAGTAGAATGTGTGTTCATGTCATCTATATTGGTTTCTTTCCTTGATATGGTTCTAATGGTGGATTGTCTCCACAATAGGGCCTAAATCATAGTTGGTGTTCCTTTTGTTATACTTTGATGTTTCATGGTCTTTACTCTTTTTGTTTGTGGAATTTTACATCTTTGGCCGCAGCCATCTTTGGATATTGATTACAATAGGTTTTGTTGCATGCTGGTATTACTAAGAAGAAAAGGGAGGGTGAGAAACCCTCAACCAGGTACGGAAAGAGTGCCTATATTAATATGCACAAATCATTTACATTCAGCTCCTATACAAAAGGCTAAGAAAATAATAGACATCCAACTATGAGAGAAAGAACTGGCTGGCACTCCCATGAAAAAGACTTGAGCACCCAGCTGACTGAATTTAGAAAGACAGAAATAGAAATAGATGGATTTTTGACAGATACAAGTCGTATTTCATGAGATTTTTTTATCACCAAAAAAGGATAATTTCATTAATGAGCTGAAATAGTACAACAAGAGGTTGTGATTACAATCAAGGAAATATTGAGATCCTCTGCTCTCCCACCCCACCCATACATATTGCATCACTGCCCCAAAAAGTTGTTGTTTATTAACACCCTGTTTTGCCAAGCCATTAGCAAACCTATTGGCTGATCTTTGTATCCTCTGAATATCTTCATATCCTTTGAGAACCATTTACCTTGTCTAGATTCATTCTTGAAACACCATGCAACCTTTGCCTCCCCCCTTGGCCAGCTGATAGCCTATCTTGCAATCTACTTTGACAATCAACTTTTCTGCTCTCAACTCTTAGGCTTTTTGTACCACAAAACGTACTGCCTTCATCTCTGTCCTTACTAAGCCGCCTGCTCCTATTGAACTTGAGTACATTGCAAGAATATTCCCTTTCTTGTCCCTTATTGCTCCCCCAATACCAGATGGCCCAGGATTGCCCATACTACTACTATCAAAGTTCAGCTTCCACCGTCCTCTCCTTGGAGGTTCGCAATCCTTTATAACTTTTGGCCTCTTAGAAGTGGATAGTGCAACTTCCCCTGCGCCCACTTTCTGAGTAGGTCATCAAGTGTAAAATCTGAAATAATTCCATTGTCCTCATCCAATTTGAGACTCTTAGGCCATGTTTGGTTCACTGCTATGGGCCTCATTCGTTTAATTCTTGCTCATTCTAGGCAAGAATGGGCAAGAATGAATAACATTAGAGTGGTTACAAAATTCTTGCCAACAGCCACATTCTTTTTAAAATGAAAAATCAGCCCCATAGCAGAAAAATTGACTAGCCTGCTGCATGAAAAATAATCACRCCCCATCTTGCTCATTTCATTCTTTGAGGAAATTCTACCTATAAAACTATTGCCATAGATCTTTACTTTTGCGAAAGCACTTTTACAGATGTACTTTTACGAAAACACTTTTATAAAAGTACTTTTATGAAAGCACTTTTATAAAACTACTTTTACATGAAAGAACTTTTATGAAAGCACTTTTAATGAAAGTACTTTTACATGATACAAAAGTACTTTTATAAAAGCACTTTTATGGAAGTACTTTTATGAATGTACTTTTATAAAAGCACTTTTATGGAAGTACTTTTACGAAAGAACTTTTATAAAAGCACTTCTATAAAAGTACTTTACTAAAGCACTTTTATGAAAGTACTTTTATAAAAGCACTTTTACGAAAATACTTTTATGAAAACACTTTTACAAAAATACTTTTATGAAAACACTTTTACGAAAGTAATTTTATATACAAAAGCACTTTTGTGAAAGTACTTTTATAAAAACACTTTTGTGAAAGTACTTTTACGAAAGCACTTTTACAAAAGTACTTTTATAAAAGCACTTTTACGTAAGTACTTTTATGGAAGTACTTTTATAAAAGCACTTTTACGAAAGTACTTTTATGGAAGTACTTTTACGAAAGCACTTTTATAAAAGCACTTTTACGAAAGTACTTTTATGGA